TTAGATGTGGTAAGACTGGTATTTAATTAAAACTGATTAGCTAAGAATAAAAGTTCAGTGGTTGGAGTATTATTATACAGTTTAGTGGATAAGACTCTGAAAAAATACGATAGTGGTTAAGATGGTCTTTTCTGCGGAAGATGATTTTCTAAACAAGAATTTTAGCATTTTTGGTCATTTAGAACAAATTAAAACAAATGAAAACCGAGCCAAACCGTAACATTTATTTTATATTTATACAATTATAAACTACAAGTATAAATATTTAACATTACATTCACAAATATTTTAACATATTCATCCTCATTTCAAACAAATCCATCCAGCATGGTTGCTTTGACTAAAGTTAGGATATTTTCATCAAGAAATGTATCGCAAGAATATTTTGAAAATTAGGCTATAGTCAGTACCTGATGATTGAACTGCGATGTTTTTCTTTGAGAACGAGTTTAATTTTATTATCACAAAAATGATATCAGGAGAAAGAGATAAGAGTTTCTCCAACCTAGCTACGTTGCTCTTCATCGTTTAAAACCTTATTATCCATATTACTTTCTGATGTCCATCTTCGCCTTTCTCGGCATACGTCTCGCCAAACGTCTTTCTCGGCATATCTATGAGCAGCCTGAATGGTCCGCTTGTTTTATTTCACGTCTTCTTTGAAAGGTGTGTCTTTTGACTGACTGATCAGAGCTATCGCGCCTTGAAATGAATAAGTGGTAGAGCCATTTGTCAGTCCTCATGACACTATCAATCATCAGAATTAATCTCACTACGTGACAAGGCGGCAAGAAACTTCGAAAAAGAACTCATTAGTACTTAGATGTAATACGGTTTTGTCATGACTTACATTTCAAATACTTATGATTCTAACTACATGGTTTGTAATTTAGAAGACCGTTTCGAGTTTTCAATAGATTATTTTATAAGATCGAGAAAGTTTATGATCAAACCATGAACAACTATTTTTTACTACATACTTATGCAAGATTTTGTTTATTTTTCTAACAAATAAACGCTTATTTATTTTCATTTCTTCTCACTAATCAAGGCGTACGAAGTTACTTACTCGTGAAAGGGTGTGACAAAGAACGCGAAAGCATACTAATGTTCGAGTTAGCATACTTAATATTCTTTCCCACTGTTAAGATTTATTTAGAAACTTCTTCGCATTGTATGGAATGTAGTTCATAGAAGACGATTGACTAAATGAACGATTTCTTTGAGAATATTTAATTACATCTGAATTGTTGCAAAACAGTTGATTGTTTTATTATAAACAAATGATTATTCTGCAGCTATCATCATTAATTACACCAGTTTCGTGTAAGGTTAAGACGTGTATCATTTATAGTTACCCTGTTATTCTGTATTTTACATCTTTTTCAAATTTGATTTTGAGTTAATTTGAATAGTGGCAGTATTATTTCCAATTAAATTTTTAGTTTGATTGATTGGTACCAAATTGCATTAATGCACAAGAGACGAATTAACAGTTCGAGGCATTTATAGTAAATTAATTTTTAATTAATTTTACGGGTTTATAGAAAAAGCTGAATATTAGTTGGAGAAACACATAAATACAGGAAAGCAAAAGCCTGGAAATTGGATCCTGAAAATGTTCTTCGATACTTGGGTAATTATATAAACTTTCTATCGCTTTTCGCTAACGAAACAAAATCTTTCCTTTTGTTGCGTATTTCCGAGAGAGCGGTAAAAGTTACAAGGCTAGAGGAGCATACAAAGACAGAATATTTTCGGAATTCATTTAAAACCGAACCTTATACATAGTGTAAAAAAGAAAGAAAGCATTCAATCTGCAAATGTTCCCTTTTTAATATAAAATAAACGAATAATAATATAGTATTACTTTGACTTTTGTAACCATATTATTGAAGACAGGATATAAGTTAAGCTCTGATATTAATTTTCTTCTGGTTCAAAATTTCGTATAAAAATCATATCACGTGTGTGAAGCTTTTAGTATTTGAATTTTCCTGTCATTGAACGTTAACGTACAGTTTATAGAAACATATGATCTGCCATCACCCGGGAATGTGTGATTCGTATCGTAATGCAAGTGGAATTAAAGCATCTTTCGACTGTTTGCTCGATGACGTGTTTTGAACAAAAAAACCTTCAGTTTCTTTCATCAGAAGAAATCCCTTCACAACTACCGTATTTGTCAGATTTCTTCTTCTCTTAATTTTTGTTCAGTCATATCAAGATGGTCATCGTTTTCAGGCAGTTCAATCTGCATAAAACAGCCGGTTTATGAAAAGTATTAAAAGAACCATTTTCGCAGTGGTTCCAGGAATGTCCGATGAAACAAGTGTATGTATATTCGAGGATGTTACTTTGGAGGCGACTACGTAATGGATTTTTATATTTCAAATAGTTTTGTCTTACAAATATTTTTCGGAAGCTTCGTGAACATGGAAGTTTCTGTTGCTATTTCCAAAGCAAAATTTAGAAAATCAAACTTTCGGAAAAAATTACCTTTTGAAATATTGACGGAAAAGTAATCATTGCAAGATATCTACTGATGTCTTGTTTATATGCGGTCTTTAGCCGAAAGGCGATAAATCATTGATAACAAACGGTCAGGCGTTGACCACAGTTTTCAGATAATAATATAGCAGCAAAATTAAATCAACGCATATACTAAAATTTTTATCATTTTCTAAAGAATGAGATGTAAAAAATGGTTCGTATATTTGCATTGCTTAATGACGCAGAATTAAGAAAATATTTTAAAAAAGGGGGCTTCTCTTACTGTTTGTTAGTCCTACGAAAAAGCACGAATAACGGAACGAATAATGTATAAATAAAACTAATCTTCAGCAGGAGAGTACAACAGTTAAAAAGCTTCCAATATTCAGCCTGTGGTCAAAAAGATAAAAAATAGATGATTCATTAATGATGAATAATTTTATCATTAAGCAGTGGATAAAAAACCACAAACACTTGTATTTTCTTTATAAGTTAAAATTTTAAAGGCTGAAATAAACCCTTCAAAGGATGTTTTGACGTATAAACGTAATTTCATTAGGAAACTCAGACGGCTATGCTTTCCTATATAAATTATTTAACTATCTCTTCTGAAATATTTATAAGAAAAAAGTAATTATTTGTATTTTCTTGCCTTTCTTTAAACTAATTTGTTTAAATCTAAAAACGGGATACGATTTTTTTATAAATAAATATATTTTTAAAAATAAAAAAATTAAAAAAAAACTTCTCTTCTTTCACTTTGCGTTTAATGAAATTTTCACTGTTATGTAAAATGTTTGAATTTTGCTTTTCAGAACAAATACCTATTGAATTACTCAGTATGCTTGTTAATAAATATAATGAATGATGCACTGAAATATCGACATAATGAAAGCATGTTATATCTAATATAATGTATTTACTAGACATAACGCCATTCCAGTATTATACATGATATGGGTATAATTTCATGACACTATAATTTATATGAAATACAGGTATACAGATAATCGTAAGTTCAAACATTTTGCAACCTAAAAAAATGTAAAGAGTGGCCATAAAAAAAAAAACTTCTCCAATATATGAACTCCTAGCAGCCTATATGCTCAACCAATCAAAATGAAATTTTAGGTATTGTTATTTGAAGGTATGCGCTCAAGATTGTGATGTTTTAAAATAGTACAGCTCTCACGGTTATGGTTACAGTGAAAAAATGTTGAAATTTTTAAATGGCAACACCCATTTTTTCCCTGCACAAGTTGCCTAGCGTATTGAAAAAGCATACATGGCGTAAGAATGATACACATATGATGGAAATTGCCGCCATAAAATATTTGCAAAAATCAGCATTATAAAAATCTAATTTTAATAAAAGAGATGACAGTGAAGAAAGTTTTGTTGGAATTACAAATTTTCAACGTGCCCGCCTTCGCATTGCATGCAGGCGATTGTCGACAACAACGCCGAACGTAACTTTCCCGATATCGCAGTAGGAATGTTCCTTGTTTTACGACAATCTTTACGTTTTATGGCAATTTTAGTTCTGGCAAATCTGAAGGATTTGATGGGCACACTTTAGATTTCAGATAACCCCAGAATCAGGAATCCGTTGGAGTGAGATCGGGGGATCTAGGAGGCCATGAAACTGTTATGAAGTTGTGAAAGTTACGAGGGACGACTCTGCATCTCAAAAGGGCTGTTGCAGAACTTGGACACGTGGCGACGCCATACGTCGCCAAGCATCCATACAATTTCATTAATATTTAGCTCTTGCAAATCTGGAATTGCGTAATTTTGCAACATTGTTGTATATCGAACACTTGGGATGGAGCACGTTTTCATACCTTCAGAAGTAATTTCTTCGAAGAAGTACAGACCGAGATAGAATGTGCTTGCGATACTGCACACCACAGTCACTTTAGGCAATAATGCCACATCATAAGGATATTCGCCAGCCTAGTTAACGCAGTTCTTGGAATTTACGTTTCCAGTTAAGGAGAATAGCGTCCATAATATCCGTTGCCGTCATCTGCTACCTTCATCATATCTGATGAGGAAAGATGATGATCTCTTCTTTGTAAATGCTTTACGCTGGCACTTTTCGCCATATGTGTATCATTCCAAAGTCAATTATGGTTTTTCAATACGCTGATGAACCTGCGCAGGAAAAATGTGGACTTTGACATTCAAAATTTTCGAAATGTTTTTATAGTAACCGTGCGAGCTCTATTATTTTAATTCGTCACAATTTCGAGCGCATAGCTTAAAGTAACAATGTCTGAAATTTCATTTTGGTTGGTTGAGCGGATAGGCTCAACTGCTAGGGGTTCTTATATTGGGGAAGTTATTTTATGACAACCCTGTAGATGAAAAAACCAATGTTAGTGTTAGTTTTCAGTAAAATAGTTCACATCTTGCTCTGGATTTGAGAAATGAAAAACTGTATTCTTCCTAAATTTCATAGTCAAGAAAACTTAAAAAATTATGCTTAAATTTCTATTTCTTACCCGTCATCGTCAATAAGAAGAACAGTTTCCGATCCTGCACTACTTCTGGCCACAAGATCGCTGCCAAAAATACCATAAACGCCTGAAAGAGAAACTTAATTAGTTGAATACTTTTACTCTCATTTTACAAGGAAAAGAAGAAGAACAACTTATGAGGTGCTCTACACAAAGGGAAATTGTTTGATGCATAATAAAATGTGTCTTTGAAAAAACGTCTGCCTTTATTGTAGAATTTCTATTATACACCAATATATTTTGGTGCATCTACAAACTTATTTTTATGGCTAATACTGTTGCGTGCTATGGGTTCGCTGATAGCTCTTCTAAATGATCACTCTATGTAAAGAGACATTAAACATTTATTACAAAAATTAACTATATACAGTGCAACAGATGGCTACAAATAATTCAAGAGTAAGCGGATATTCAGCAATTGCTACTCACACAAAAAATATCATCAGTGGAAAAAAATCACTTACAGTGTAAAATGATAACTTAAGTAACGCTTAATCTCCCAGTTGAATAGCAGCTAACTAATAACTTGCCTGAGCTCTAGGGGCCATATTTATATAATGTAATAAGAGCAGGGGTTTTTTGTAGAACGTGTTTCCCGAAGTTTCGGGAAGAATCAATCATCAAAACCAGTGCATAGCGTATTTGCTCATATCTAGTGTTCTACATGAGATATTTTTACAATTTAAACGATGCCACACTCAGAACTGGAAGATCAGCAATTTGTTTGGAAAAAAAAACACTTAAATAAAAATATATGACTACAAATGCAAAATCAACCACTAAATACTACAAATAAATATTTATTACAAAATCACAGAAGGCAACAATGTAATAAAAAGGATTACATTCAATTCGCTTAGATTACCATTTGACAATTTTGATTCGGAATCCCTCCACATTATCAAATTTCTTAATATTAGTAAAAATAAAAATTATTTTTTAACATTTCAGGGTATTTGAATAAAGCAGTGCTAGAAAGGAATTTTACACTAGACAGAAATACAAAGATGTAATTTGTTTGAAAGACTGAGATGTATAACATTTGAAATTCGCATAATTCAAATTTTAAACTTGTTATTGTTATTGATTAATAATTATTAATCGTGCTGTCAGGCTTCATACGAATAATAATGATAAAGAGGAGCATTTGCAACATTAACGACCATTTGTGTGGTGTTGTAAGATAATCGAAGTTATACTATCACCACTAGAACATTGAGTATCATCAGCGGCAGTTCACTTTCGTTCAGTTCTAACCAGCTTTGATTGAGAACATCTCCAAGGACAGAATCTGTATCCTTCTTCACGTCCTACCTCAGAATGTTTCCACAGAACTTTTGGAAAGACCGGAGATGGAGCTATACGTATTCAATCATATACGCCAGGGCCGTGTTTTGAGCTCGAATGTGGGGCTTCAGGACAAAGAGAGTCATAGATATCAGGAAAGCCAGTCAAGCGGCTTGAAATATTAAGTGATAAGCTACCATATGAAATTTTTCAGAGTACTAAAATTTTACATTTATTTTTTTCTCGAAACAAATTTTTTTTTTTTTTTTTTAAATTTCGAATTCATTAATTTAGTGCGATATCAACACTGCATTTCTGCTATTAGTTTGCGGGCGGCTGTAGGTTATCATTCAGGCGAGTGGCAGCAGGTTGCGCATTTGACTCCTTATTATTAGTACATTTGTGAGGATACCTAATACTTACTGCATTTTAAACTCAAAACATATTTATTCCAATTACAAGAAGTTCTTTACAAAAATATATAATTCATGAATAGCATAGAACATTTATTGAAGTGAATTATAGTCCTCGTGACATGAGTAGTCAGCTAACGAGGGTTTCTCTAGTCGAGAGTTCAGGACCCTACTAGCTCTCTCTAGTCTCTACTCTCTATGAATATGTTCTAGAGCCTTCTAGGGTTTTCTAGTCGAGAGTTCAGGAACCTAATTTTTCAGTAGTATTTTACATACTTTGATTCGTTATATTTGGAAAGATATATATATATATTAAAAAACAAAAAACAAAAAAACAAAAAAACCCAAGATCATTGGTTCGTCAACTTTCTTGAAATCAAGAAGCCTTTGAAGACAGACGCAGTGCAGAACACTAAAATCCCTTAACACTAGTCGTGAAGTTATGTCTCTTGCACTGTCAACTGGAACGAATTATTACGCCTGCGATGTCAGAACGATGCTAGCCCAAGCCATAAAACACTGTAAGACCAGCACTAGGGTCACTACTACCATCGAGACCGACAGTCTGTCAGTCCTTTACGCCCTAAAATATCCCAAACACCCATCTCCCATCATAATGGAAATACAAAAGGAATTACGGGACCTAAGATCCTAAAACATAGAACTCGAGTGGGTCAAAGGGCACGATGGAAATGAGATAGCAGACAGATTAGCAAAGGAGGCAGCAGAAGATAATAAGGCAATCCGAATTTCCATCAAATGGCCCATCTCCCATCTAGTACGAAATGTCCAACAAATATCGAAATCCAAATGGCAGATAGAATGGGACACGAGTGAAAAGGGCAAGAGAACCTACTATTACACCCCCAAAGTAGATCCGGAACGTCTTCTTATACAACCTCAACTGGTAAGGTATGTTTCGGGCCACGGGCCATTCCCGGTATACTTTAACATATATGCTATCATGGATACGGACACTTGCACAATTTATGATACAACATAAGCATTTAACTCACAAAATATGCAAAATGATGGATGTTCTGGCAAGACTAGGCATGGATCTTTGTCAAGATCAATAACATCCAATAAATAAGCATCCATGAACAGATACAAAAATGAGTATATAGCAATAAATAAAATAAAACAAGTGTTTTCATAACAAATCCTCAGTAATGTGTATCAATTGCCAATATTCATTAATGTTCAGCAAACCAAAGAATGAACTATTCTTAATCAAGCATCCTATGAACAGGTGCACAACAATATGTATAAAACATTATCATAAATTAGCAAGTATACACCTTCAAATCTTCAATCTCCAGCTATGAATACCAAGTACTCCGTAATAGGTCCAGTAATGTGTACCAAGGACTGAACTATGCTTACATAAACATACACCGAACAGGTTCACAATAAGTATGTATAGCAGTTATATTAAATAGTTAGTACATCTTCAACCTCTAGCAATAAGCACCAAGTACTCCAAAATATATTATGCAATACTGTCAAGCAACTAATACCATGTACTCCATATATACTCTGTAATATATGCTCTATAATGCATACCAACAGATGCAACAATGCGAATAATGCACTAATATAATGTATCAACAGGTGCAGAAATGTGTATATAGCATTAATACTATACAGAGAGTGTATATTTTTGAATCTTTAGTAATACGTACTAAATATTCAATAATGTGCTCAACAATGTGTACCAAAGAATGTACTATGCTTACATAAGAGTCCAAATAATAGGTGCACAACAATGCGCATACAGCCTTAACTTAAATTACCTAGTGCACATTTTCAAATCTCCAGCGATGTGTTTTAAGTATTCAATCCAGTAACGTGTACTAAGGAATATACTACGCTTCCGTAGGGGGGCATCCAATAACCAGGTGCAAAATAAGTGTAAAAATCATTTTTATATAATAGCAAATGTAAATTCACAAACCCCCAACAATGTGTTCCAAGCATTCAATAATGTGTTTGGTAATGTGTACCAAGACAGACAAGTATACAACGCTCAAACAAGTATACAATGCACAGGCGTACAAAAAGTGCATATAGTTGTATCATAATTCAAAGCAAATGTTTACCTTCAGTCCCAAGTAATGTGCACTAAGCATTCAGCAATGGTTTCAGTAATGTATAGTAATTATAATTAAGCAAGTGTTTATTTTCGGTGCTACTTTGGTAGACGGTTGCACGGATTTTCGATTTTTCTTTTGGCGAGTAATACGATTTATGGTAAACCCATTGCTGGATAAGTTATTAATGGTAGCCGATACTTTGTTGTCATCTTATTTAAAAAATAATGCCTGTTATTATGCATAAATTCCGTGTTTTAACTATTATTTATGGCTTCTAAATATTAAAAATCAATTTAATTTTGCATTTTTATTTGAAATAAAAATTGGTATCGCTTTTGATATTTTATGAAATTTTATGCTGTGGATGATGTAATCAATGACGTCACCTTACTTTAAAAGCAATTGGTTTTAATATCTATAAATTTATTCTAATGTTTTAAACATTATTTACGGCTGTTAAATATTAAAATACAATTTAATTTTGCATTTCTCTTTTAAAATCATTTTATTATGTATGATTATTTAAATATATTAATTCTATACGTGATTCATCTCTCTATTGGTTATAGAATATTTATGAATTAACGAGCTGTAATCAGCTTCTGATAGGTTGCTGAAATTTGTGCATTACCGCGCCATTTTAAAATTTAATTCTATCTTCGAATTCCTTCAAAAATGTCTCTTTCAAAGATAATTTGTTTTTGATAAGTACCAAGAATTATTGGAATCGGAATCAAAAAATTGTCCTTTGAGACTTATTTTGGCCAGCCTGGCTTTCCTAATCAAAATTTATTTATAAATTCTTACAAGGGTCAGAGGAGATTTATTTTAATTTTTTGGAGGAAACCTCGCTATGTGATAAGTGCAAAATGTAGATCACAGATGAAATCGTTATCAGAGCCGATCTGAGGACTGCCGTAATGGTAGCTGTGGTCATGTTGGAAGAATAACCGCTCTAACGGTAAGAAAGTATAACATTCCTCCTTTTTTACCGACATAACTAATTGCTGTCATTTTAACTATAGTGTAGAAGCGTTCTTATTTACTTATTTTAAGTATTTAAGTAATATTTTAATTCTTTTAAACGTTGGTATGATGTTTTTTAATTCGATAATCATTTACGTAATATTTTATCCAATTAAACGTTGGCGCAATGTTTTTATAACGGTATTTTATTCTATTTCTCTGTGCTATATGAAAGTAATAGTTTAACCTTTCTTTAGTATTTTATACTCGTAGTAAATGTATTTATTTACATTTGCTTGCCATCT